CGTTCCGAACAATTTACCTTGACGATCCTCGGCTTTAATTTGTCCGTTTACCTGGATGACGGTTCTAAATAAGCGTTACAAGTTGTTTTTTATGGCCTGAAACAAACAAAAAAATTCCAACCTTTCGCGGGGGAAAATTTACTCGATAGCTCTGGATCGTTGTCACTTGTGTTAGCGTGGAAACACTCGGAAACTGTTATATCGTTGCTTTCCATCACGCGGAAGCACTTCTAAAAAATGAAAAAAAAACCATTCCGTTTTAAACGCCAAATAATTTGTCCCGGAGATCTTCTCACGATTTCGCTGATAGCAATTTTTCATGTACCTTTATCGCGTCCCGTTTTTGTTTTTGTTTTTGTTTTTTTTTCTTTATTTTCTTCGTATTGTACGATGGTACGTAATCGCTATAATCAAGCGGATGCAGAGTCGGAGTGCAAACCGCGGCGAAAGAGGGCCGGGAACTGCACGACCAAGAGCAGAAAATTAATATCGCAACGCTCGTGATGTATTGTTTCATTTTCTACTTTATTTCCTTCGTTCCGGTTCGCGCGAGCTCATGAACGCTCGGCCATTTTGTTACACCAGCACGATTTCAATTCCGTCCTTTCATTTCTGTCATTATATTGCCCCGAATATCGTGCTTTGCTTGCCCGCTCACGTAGCTGCGACTCCCAAGTCGCGAACTTTGTGTACGCCGGTTTCCAAACACGGACAGTTTGGACGCGTTCACGAACATTTATTACGAACTCGTTTTTCCCTTGGTTCTCTACTACTGTAATAACAACGTTGTTTTAACATTTTTATTCATAACTCTCTCAGTGTTTAATGCACGTATCTCGCACACAGACTTTTTTTTATGTTTACACTCGTGTACATAAACACACTTTTGTTGCGTTGACACGACGTCCTGGAAACTTATTACAGTCTCATTCGGTAATATGTTACTATTTTTGGGTTTGACTTACAATTTCTATCGATTCTTCCAAATTAATTTATATGGAAATGGAGAATATGTGGATACGATTCGTGCAGTTATTTATTTTCACATGACACATCTCACCATGATGATATTAACGATATTAGTGCTATTTATTAGTGATATATAACTTCTACTGACATCCATGCACCTAACAATGGGTCCTTACAGTCGTGGAAATTGTTTTATATACCTAGTATCAAAAAACCATAATAGGTTTGTTCACAATGAGCCTTCGTTTTCGAGATATGATTTAAAGTTTAGTATACACATGATAGAAGAATTATTTAAATTTATTTTGCAGAACAAGTTTTGGGTAAGACCGTAGAGCGAATAGCTACTATGCTTTTGATAGTGGGTTCGAATATTATTTCGAAATACAAAAATATATATTTTATTTATTATGTGTCCATATATGACACACAGTAGTAAAATAACATTATATGTCGCGTATATCTTTCTATATTAATAATTCATATCGTCAGTATCGACGTTTACGATTTTCGGACATATTTCAAATACAGAATTTACGTGGTAATGATTATGATATAAATATAATGCTATTTTACTATCGTATTGTACTCTGTCGATACTTACGAATCGGTCGATAATGAATTGCAATTTCATTCACGGTGGAATGAAGCGAATCAAATTTATTTATTATTAAAACATTTGTCGGACTGAATGCGATTTTCTTGGCTCGTCTGACCATTATTGACTATTTCTACTTGCACCGACGTCCAAATAGTAAAAATACAAATTGTCCTAATAATGCGTGGATTCTACGTTGAAAACTGAATCGAAAGTATAGAGTAACATTTTTGCGGGCAATGTTTCCTTTTCGAGATAATTGAATTTTAATATATATGTCTGACCATACCTAGATATTTCTACTTGTCATACCTCTGAATATTCAAAGTCGATTTTCTCAACAACGAAGCCTCGAATGAAAAAATGTCATTCCACGTTTTCGTTGTGTTTTTTCCACGGTATAATCATCCCCTCCTCGTTAAAAAGAATCGACGATAGAACGGACTAAAATCGACGTTAATGAATATCATATTTTCGCGACTCGCTGTTCCCTGGCGATGCGTAAACGTAAAATCGCGATTCGGTTGTTTGGAAATTTTGCAGCAACAATGAATAATATTTGCATAGAGATTAGAGCGTCCCTTTGGCTTTGGAATCAAATTCCAATGGACCTCGGGAACGACCATAGATATCCGTGTCGTCTATTTTCGTCGAATTTCGCCCCCGGAAGAAAGCGTTCCGAAAGCAGCATTTTGATCCCCGGTTTAGAACTCGACGAAGAACGCGGAGGAAGGCGGAAGCACACTGGCGCAGAGAGTTGTCTCTGGGCGTTTTGCGAAAGCTGCAGGAGTTGCACGGGGAGCTGCATAACTGCGTATCTGCATCGCCCGCGGGGTTCCGGGCGTCAGCTTTTTAGCCTTTCAGCTTTGTCTTGGCGCGCGGAAAGGGTAAAACCACCTTTCGAAATTCACCGAGTCGCGATGTACACGCTCGTTCGGACGTAGAGCACCGGAATAATGCCGCTACGCTCGCTTCAACGAACAGTCTTTTTCAATACTCGCGGCGTGTTCCTTTTTGTCGGCTCTCGTTCCCCTTTTTTCTCGTCTTTTCCGGGGCCGATTTCTTTTAATTAGAGACACATCATCGACGGACGAACCATCACGCCGGTTTAATTAGCACCGTTACAATGCCCGTTCGCGGCCTCGTGAGCTTCCTTTATCAGTAACCGTGCAAAGGGTAAAGTTTGGAATTATTTTTTAATGGTTTTCAACGTTTCTCGTCGCGATAAAAAATAGTAGCGATCGAAAAATAGCAATTATAAAAAATTCTCAAACTTTATACAGACCCTTCAAATATTCTGTTATTTTTTTATTTAACCCCTTGACGTACAATGACGAGTCTGACTCGTTACAAGTTCTTGATGTCAAGTTTACGCCTTCATGAGGCTACTGGTCATCAAGTCTTATGTATTAAAATCAACACTTTTTTTAAACAAATATATTCTTTTTCGTGGTCATTCTATGTATGAATAAATTTAAATAAAATTGAATAGTTATTGAAGTCGATTGTAGATCGAGAGCACCACGTAGTCGATCGGTGAGGGCGCCACCATAATGCAAGTAGTTGAATTGATTTAGTTAGTTCGTCTTACGACACGCGAGGAGATGTATCGAGATACAGTTTTCTTATAAAAGGTTATCTCGTGGTAAACTATTTCTTCTTACTCTGGTCAACTCCTGCCACGTACCTCATCAACAATAGTGTACGTTTGAAAAATTGTTTGGAATTAAATCGTACGTCGACGGGGTTAAACGAGGCTACTATCCTCCAATCGTGGCAATGTAAAACAAAATACTTTCTATGCAGTTTGAAGAGTGGTATAGAAAGTTATAATTTATTACCTTGGCGTAATAACGAATAACTCTACAACTAACAAATAAGTCTTATCAGAGATATAAAAAAAAAAAATGTTGTAGTCCTGCGTGGAACCGTCTTTTCGACGCAAAGGGTGTCTGGAAACAGGCTGAATGGAGGAATAACAATCTTTTTAGTTCTCTTTTGCGGGCGCCGCGGAGACAATGGGACTGGCTGGGACACGATATTTGCCATGGTGATAGGTCGATCCATCTATATGGCAAACAGTCGACGCAGTTTGCACGGCGTGTAATCTTTTTAGGGGATGCTTCGGGCATGACCTGTTTGCACGCTTTCGAAATGTTCTCGTTTAAAAGCTGGATGACCTTAATTATGAGAAACGCCGTTTAAAGCGTCGCTTTCAAATACTTGGGAAGCGCTATTGCGACGCGAGATATCGAGCAAAGGTTCCGCGTCGCGATTAATTACTCCATCTGTTTTATTTTCTTTTTTTTTAACCTATTCCCTGGCGTGTGAGGTTCGTTTCATATTTTTTTCCTATTAAAATGTAGTATACGAAATGTTAAGAACAAGGGCTTAAGAGTTGCACGATTTATAGTACTTGCTGGGAGAAGTAACTCGTTTCTAATCAACGGTAGATCTTAATTTGTTATGTGAAGAATATTTTTCGAAACCTCAAGGTTATCGATTTTGAGAAAAAGAATAGGACTAAGTAAAAATATTAAAACTATTCAATTGCAAAAATATTAAAACTTTTCCCTATTTCGTTTTTCCCATATACTTAATACATGGAATATTATAGAAGCAAATACTGAATGACTTTTAAATATTAATGATGAAAGTTTCAGTATTCTTTGAAAATACAATTTGAATTGTTCGTATATCAAGTAGCACTGTAGCTCAATGGTACATTATTATATATATTCTCCTTAAACATTTAATTGGGAATTTCAAAAAAATAAAACCTGCATAGAACTATGTTATTTTCTAACCAAATATACAGGGTGGTCTATGCAACTTGTACACCTCTACAAACTTTGCAGGTTTAAACTAATAATTATTTAACCCTTAAGTGGATTATTGGGATTATGTAATCCTCCATCAGTTCGTTATTTTCTAAATGCTTTAAAGGAGAGTTGATTTCCATATACCAATTTGGTAAAAATCAACGTTATGTAAAATAATTTGATTGAGATCGAGAGTCGACTGAAGGGTTAATCCCTGTCAAAAATAAATTTTCTTCTAATCAAGAGCAGGAAAACACGTCATTCTCCCGTCTTCCTTATTTAGACCCGCGTGAACATAATTTGTGTAATTCCGCGGGGTTGGATTTCCGCCGTTCGACGAGCAACAAAGTTTCCCTTATTACTTTCCTCTCGACTCGAGAATAATTTAGCTAATTTCCCAAAGACCCCGGGCCCTCCCTAGCCCCAGCGATTGAATCGTCTTCCGTTTCAGCGTGTCTCGGCCGGAAACATTTTCTCCCTCCGAGGGGAGGTCTGGCTCTCGTGGTTATCGGGTCGGAGCGTCTCGAGGAGGGCCGATAAGCGAGCGAAAAGCGCTAGATATCGATTTTTGGGGCCGAGTTCCTAATGATCTACCTTTCTTTTTGTTGCAGCCTGAGAACCGAGCAACCGAGTGGCCTCGACACGGGTGACGTTCGTTTCGAACTGAGCAAAGCCCTCGGTCTCTGGGCTCGAAACTCGAAACTCACGTTCCAGGAAGTGAACAGCGACAGGGCGGACATTTTGGTATACTTCCATCGGTAAGTTTACCCTGTTTGTGCATCAGTTTGGACCCTACGAATCTTCCGAGTCCAAAGGTCAATGCGATGGGAATAAAAAGTTTTAACTGAATTCGATATTCGCTTCTATTTTAATATTTTTCACGTTTGGAGTCTTAATGACAGTTGAAAGCAGGATAAATAATATTCTTTTTGGTACGAATTACAAGTAAATTTTATACTTTACGGAATCACCTATCTCTTACTTCAACCAGGCATCAACGATTCGCTTGGCAAATAAATTCCTGTAGCGATCGATGGACACCAACAATAATCTCTCTGGTAACCTTGCCGTCGCCATTTTCTATAACGAAATATCTCCAGATACGAATAAACTATTTAAAAATCATCTATTCTATATTTTTTTTAGATTATTTTATTATTTTTACTATATCAACTACTTTTTAAAAAATCTTCTTTCGCAACGAAAAGATGAAATTTTATTTCTATTTAAAATTTTATATAAATTCTATGTTTCGTTTGTAAATTAGTTCGTTATTAAAAAACAAATAGTTGTAATTTTAAAGGTGAATTCGTAAACTAGGAAATAATCTGCTATTTAAAATTTTATATAAATTCCATGTCAATACGATGCAAATAAAAATTTTTAAATGATTTCGATATTTACTTCTGTTTTAATATTTTACACGTGGAATCTTAATGGCAGCCGAGAACAGCATAAATAATATTCCTTTTGGTACGAATTACAGCTTTTCATACTTTACAGAATCACCAATCTTTTATTTTATATTATTACTTAATTTTAGTTCGAATCGAATGAGGATTTTTCTAATAAATTTTAATAATTTCAACCGTGTATCTCTTCACGATTATTCGTAAAACACTATTGAATAGAAACGTCACGCGACTCGAATATACTCCTTTTAGTACGAATTACAAGTAAATTTCATACTTTACAGAATCATTAATCTTTTACTTTATAATATTACTTAATTTCAGTTCGAATCGAATGGGAATTTTTCTAATAAATTTTAATAATTTCAACCGTGTATCTCTTCACGATAATTCGTAGGACGTTACTGAATAGAAACGTCGTGGATAAAGAAATTGGATGTAAGAAATATGGTGGACAGGAAAGTAATTCCGCGTCAAAAGTTCCGTTCGGTTCGCTGGCTATTTATTCAAACGGTTACAGCAGATCCGAGTTCTCACGGCGATGCGCAATCCATCCCTTAGTTTTGCGGTCCGTTTAATTCGGCTTTTCTCCGGATCGGAAGGAGACGGGCCATACTGGCCTGCCCGTAATTAAATTCCCCTTGCGAGCGGCCGTCGATTATCTAGACAGCCGATACGCCACTGATATCACGGCATTCGGGGCTAATCCTGAAACTGCTTCATACGACTCTCGATATCCTTCTTTTGCGATTTTTTATCATTCGTTATCTAGACTCTTTCCAAAGCAGTGAAATCCAGCAAATTGAGTTTTAACAAATTTTGAATGACCAATTTCACAACCCCCAAAGCAAATAGCTACTAAAATACATGCGAATGTTTATGCGTTTATTGGGAAATTTTAATTCTCAGAAAACTACAGAATTGCACTTAACATGCAAAAATATAAATTGAATATTTAGAGGTCGAGACAACCCTCTACAAAGCTCCCATTTCATTAATTCTGTTAATACCAGAACTATCAAACCAGTCGAAGCGACCCATTTGTGATTTCTAATGAGATTTGTAAACAATTTACACCACTGTATTTTTGAAAGTTTCATTTCCATTGCATAATACAATTCTTTGTGTAATAAATAAAATAAATACACTATAATTTGCATAAATATCTGTAGTTGAATAATTAGTGTTGTATAGTTTCCTAACTTCCAGCTATCCATCATATTCCTCTTATAATTCTTGACTTTTATCTTTTTACTTTACCGTTTTAATGATATTAAATGTCGTCCGAAACTGCGACAAGTTTGTTCAAAGTCTTGTCACGAGATAAATAAAGAACAAAACGCTGGTCCCTGAAAGTTTGATGACCTTCTTAAAAAAAAAATATCTCCAAAGATAACTTATTTTTACCTCGAACGTTCGAGTAACCAGGACATTTGCATTAACTATAAATGGCTGAGTTTTGTTTCAGTGGTTATCACGGTGATGGATATCCTTTCGATGGCAGGGGCCAGATCCTGGCACACGCCTTCTTTCCTGGCAGAGATCGCGGCGGAGACGTTCATTTCGACGAGGAAGAAATATGGCTGCTGCAGGACGACAGCAACGAAGAAGGTAACGAGAAATTCGATAAAGTTCATTTTTCTTTCCGATTCTCGCGACACATGGTAGAATATCGTCACGCGGGAAACGTCCCGTTACGACCTCGTTCGCGAAAGGGAAAATAAATTTCGTCGAAAAACAAAATGTTTACTCTGAGATTAACGGGGGGAGGGGGAGGGGGAGAGGGGGCTGTGGGACGATTTTAAAGTAACGGAACGAGCTGGAAACGCCCCGGGTACGAGCTTTCGCTTGGCAGTTTCAAGTCCTGAAATTCAAAGTAGGATTTTACGACGGAGAGAAAGCTCACGGAGAAGAAAGTTTATAGAGACTCGCAAATGGAAGAAAAGATTCCTGAACCGAGGAATTTTCGCGGGGGCAATATATATCGAGTCACCCCATACCTTGGCGATCCGCCAATTCGGTCACCCCGTGACCGAGAAGAAATAAAGGAACGACGATGAAAGGTTTCTCCCGTTACGCCATATTCCTATATCGTCATTTTCGATCGATCACGCCGTTTGAAATCTTCGAAACTCCAAACAAACATAGGTACAATCTATAAAAATTCGAAATATATCCATTCTACGTTTCACAGACGATTAATACAAAATATAAAGGAAGTAAATATATCGTAAGAAAGGCTCAGTTTTATCTGCCACAAGTTATTTTTGTTAAAGGACTCGGTTTCATAGAGATTAATTTAAGATTCTGCTCCATATATTAAATAGATTTTCTTTCTCTAAACAAATCTACGTACCCTCTATCAAAATTCGAAATATATCCATTTGATGTTTCACAAACGATTAATACAAAATATAAAAAAAGTAAATATATGGTTAGGAAAAAGACTCGGTTACATTCAGATTAAATAAAGATTCTCCATCATTTATTAAATAAATTTTGTCATACTCTTTATTTTGTATTCCTCTTCCTTACACCCTAACATACCCCTTGTGTATGACTTGTGTCATACTCTTTATTTTGTATTCCTCTTCCTTACACCCTAACATACCCCTTGTGTATGACTTGTGTTAGGATAACAAAGATAAATAATAAAGAATTATAATTCTTCTAAAATTAACCGACATATATTTATATTAATCGAAAGACGCATTTCCATTAATTAATATCGTTACCAAAGGAGGATTATTTTTCCATAGCGAATGCAAATGTGAAACGAATATGGTAAGCGTATGCAAAATATGTGCACGTATGATGAAATAAAATATTGAAATTATTATAATCGCGAGAAAAGGAAATCTTTGAACACGACTTCAAGGCAATCGTTTAAAAAAATCGTCCAAGACAGGTTCTATTGAAAATTAGAAAATAAAATAATTTCAAGTAAATTAAATTCCATCGATATGTTTATTGTTTGGCGTTGTTAACGAAGAGGAAACGTCGAATATGGGATTTCCTTTGATAATTAAAACAGGAAGTAATTTGGATATTGGCTCGTTTACTAAGTCTGAGACCTAATCCACACCGAAGAACCAGTCCTCGGATCTAATCTAAACGCGAAACTTAAGCCCCCGGGGCTGAATTCTCGGCCAAATGGGCCGAGGGATCTAATGCCTGATACCTAAGTCGATCCCGAAACAATCCTGACCTCCAAACTCTAACAATGAGAGTTTACTATCTGGACAAACCAGAGATAGGTGTCGACAACCAGAAACAAATCCCCGGGACATTGTTCCGAAAACTCTCTTCGAGTTACGATCAGACCCATTTCATAATACACGACTCTTTCGTTTCACATAACATTTTTGACGATAATTTGACACGGTGCAACGAATGCCAATATATTCGATCGGCGTTAATATCACATATGAATTGCTAATATCTTTGCTGACACATCGCGTCAGGAGCCGCAGGACATTCATAAACGATGAGGAACCGGGATACCACAATTTGCAAATCCATTGGAAAATTAGCATCCTCCGAGATTGGTTTCACTAGAGACTCTCATTTGAATTCTAGCTAGCTATGTCAGATTTCGTACATCAACGATTCACTTGACAAATAAATCCCTGTCGCGATCGATGGGCACCGACAATAATCTCTCTGGTAACCTTGTCGTCGCCATTTTCTGTAACTAAATATCTCCAGATACGAATAAACTACCTAAAAATCATTTATTCTACATTTTTTACATTATTATATTATTATTTTTACTATATCTACGTTTCTCTTCGGTTAATTTTTACAAATATTTAACTTTGGATAAGAATTTTACTTTTTAAAAAATCTTCTTTGAAACGATAATATTAAATGTTATTTCTATTTGAAATTTTACATGAATTCTATGTTTTGTTTATAAATTAGTTCTACTTATTGAAAAATAAATAATTATAATTTTAAAGGTGAATTCGAGAACTAGGAAATAATCTGCTCTTTACAATTTTATGTAGATTCAATGTTTCGTTTATAAATTAGTTCTACTTATTAAAAAATAAATAATTATAATTTTAAAGGTGAATTCGAGAACTAGGAAATAATCTGCTCTTTACAATTTTATGTAGATTCAATGTTTCGTTTATAAATTAGTTCTACTTATTAAAAAATAAATAATTATAATTTTAAAGGTGAGTTGCTAAACTAGGAAACAATCTGCTACTTAAAATTTTATATAAATTCAATGTCTCTTTTATAAATTAGTTCTACTTATTAAAAAATAAATAGTTGTAATTTGAAAACAGAATTCGTGAACTGGGAAACAATCTGCTACTTAAAATATTATATAAATTCAGCCTTTCGTTTATAAATTGGTTCTTCATTAAAAAATAAATAATTTTAATTGTGATTTCATGAACTGAGAAATAATCTACGAACAATGAAATGAAAAATTGATTAAAATGATATATCGTTCCAAGTTCCAAATTGTTTGCCCTATAAAGAATAATCTTGACCGGAGAAACGTTAACCGAGTTATTCGTTAGGAAAAAGGGATCGCCAGAAGAAGGCTGGGCCAACTCGTTTTAAAAGTAAGAACGTCTTGTAAGTTTTCGAGCAAGTTTCACGGGATATCGAGACTCTGCAATCTGAAGCGCCCTCCGAGGACAACCGTAATTCGTTCCACTTATTTTCGTGCTCGTCCTCGAGCGGGGCTTTTGATTAAGAGCACACTTGACTTCGCTATATCGTAGTCAGCTGCTGTTAACGTTGAAATTCCAAAGTATCGCGGCGGGGAAAGTTACTAACGAGGAAACTTCCAAGATACAGTGACAGGCCTCTGTGCACGAATCCATCTTCCACCGATTGATGTTCGACAACCTCCGCGATTAGTGTGCACGACACACTCGTAATTGCAATCCACGACTCATAATTGCCACGCTGGTTAGTAAATTTTACAATTTTATTCGATATCGAATCTGTCGAAAAATTATTTTCGTCCATCGTTGCTAGCCAAGTTTAACCATTTCTGTTTTGTTCGAAACTATTTTCCGGCTATTTTTCTTACCAGACTGGCCCCGAAAAGTATTTTTGATTCGATTCGGTTTGGGGAAAGTTTGCAACTAGTTTAATCTGTTGAGAGTCTTGGGCGGCGAGAAGTTTTCTCGTTACGAAGTATCGACACCGATTCGACATTTTGCTAATGGATTGTGTACTGACAGAGACCGGAAATCTCATATAAGTTCGAAATAACATTGTGCAATGTCGATATTTTTGAATCAAACGACAACGAATTGCAATTTTATTCACGGTGGAGCAAACCGAATAAATTTCATTTATTATTAAATTGTTCGAATAATCCGTAGATTTTACGTAGAAAACTGAATCGAAAGTTTAGAGTAACATTTCTGCGTGCAATGTTTCGTTTTCGAGATAATTAAATTTTAATGTCCACGTCTGATTATATGTAGATATTTCTACTTGTCATATCCCTGAATATTCAAAGTCGATTTCCTCGAAACTGAAACTACTTAGAAAAAAATTTTATTCCACATGTTCGACTTGATTTTTCATGGAGAATCTCCCCTCTTCTCTTTTCAGTTGAAATAACCAGTAAGTTAACTATATTATTGTAAGGGTTTCTAACATTATTTTCAAATTACGTTAATCACCGTTTCTACTAATTCTGGTTTCCAAAGTCTGAACTTTATTTTGCATATACGTATTCCAGTGAAATATTCAAAGTCCAATAAAGCTTTCAAAGATAAAATCGTAACAAAAAGTCTGTAATATTGTTCGTAGACAGATAAGAAAGGAAACAATCAAATTCATTTGATTTTCAGCGCGATGATAGGGCTTTCTTTTACCGGTTCGTACCTGGTAGCTTTAATTTTATGATTCCGACCCACATTCGAATCGAGTGTCCTAGATGCGAAGCGAAATGGAACGGAGGTATAATAAAAAAGCTGCCGAAAGAAAAGCCCCGTGAACCAGCGCCAAATCCGTGCAATTAATGTAAAATAATATTTACAAAGTGAACGTCGTTTTAATGTCTAAAATATATTCCAAATTTTTCTTACTTCGTCCATTCAGTGCGCCTGATATTGTTCAAAATTTGGAACGATTCTTAATAAACGAACAGATGTTTCGATTTTACAAAAAAAAATAAATATTCGTAAATGGAACGGGTAAAATTGAAAATGTCTATTTTATTAGAATTTACTTTGTTGAAGAGTGGATAATTTTCACGAATCCACGAAGGGTTAAAAAACGAATGTTTAAAGTATATTCCAAATTTTTCTTCGTCCATTCTGTACGCCTGATATTATTCATTGTTTAGAACGATTTTTAATAAACGAACAGATGTTTCAATTTTACAAAATATAAATATTCGTAAATAGTACTGGTGAAGTTGAAAATGTCTATCTTATTATAATTTACCTTTTTGTAGAGTAGATAATTTACACAGATCCGAAAAGGGTTCGAAGACGAATAAAATGGCGACTACCGAGCAGCCTGAAGTGTCTTCACCGCGGAAATCATGTTTTCATCCTTTGTGCGCTTTTATTTTCCCTTTCAGATGAAAATCGTTAGTCCGTTGCATCGTATTTACGTCCGATTTCTACGGTTTTTTTCTAAAGGATCCGAATCACGCGAATGAAAGCGAGTGGCCCGGTGAATGGACGGTCGCGTAAGACGTTGAATCCTCGTATCTTTTGGCTTTCAGGGACCAGCCTTTTCGCGGTGGCGGCGCATGAATTCGGCCACTCTCTCGGCTTGGCGCACAGCTCCGTTCCTGGAGCACTCATGTATCCGTGGTACCAAGGATTGAGCTCTAATTACGAGCTACCGGAGGACGACCGAAACGGGATTCGGCAGATGTACGGTAAGTGGGTCTGCGTGTTTGATAATTACGTCCAAACCTAGTAATTATGTCACTCCCGTACTTCCCGGACCGCTTATTTTCCCATAACTGTATTTCTTCGGAATTACAGGTGGCCCCCGAGACCCGCGATTCTTATCTTTTTCCGGTATAGAAACGTCAGAAATTATTTATTAACGCGTTAGCCGCAAGATTAATAATATTACTTATTTTTATAATAATAATCCACGAATTAATTATGTTCAGTTCCCACGATGTCGACATTTCGTTTTAAGACAATTGGATATCAAGGAAAGATGACAAATAAAAATCATATGTGAATAGAAAGAAAGTTGGAACCATTATTGACTATTTCTACTTGCGCTGACATCCAACTCATAAAAATATAAATTGTTCCTAATAATCCATGGATTCTACATGAAAAACTGAATCGAAAATATAGAGTAACATTTTTGCGTGCAATGTTTCGTTTTCGCAATAATTAAATTTTAATATATGCGTCTGACCATACGTAGATATTTTTACTTGCCATAACTCCCGAATATTCAAAGTCGATTTTCTCGGCAACAAAGCCTCGAATGAAAAAATGTTATTAGACATTTTCGACTTGGTTTTTCGTGTAGAATCTCCCCCCTCCGCTCTCCAATTGAAACAACCAGTACATTAAATATATTATTATTGTAATGGTTTCTAACATTATTTTCAAATTATCACTGTGAACTCTATTTTTCGTAAACGTATCCCAACGAATTATTCAATTATCTGATGAAGTTTTCAAATCACGTAAGTATTGTAAAAACGACAAAAAAAAATTGAATGTAGATAGAAAGTTTCGAAAACGAGGAAAATATCCGGGAAGGCGATCGAGAAACGGGCGAAGATTCTCGTTTCCGTTCAGCGAGAACGGTTCTCGTATTTATGAGTGTTCGTCGCGTGATAATTGAAGTATGAAAAATACATGGCCGTAGCAAGGAATTTCAGGAGAAATCGGGGAAAAACAATTTTCGCAGGATAATCGCGGGTGGAAGACGTGTCCCCGTGGTTGCTAACAACAGGGGGTGAAATGAAACGTGAATAAAGTATAAAGGACGGACTACCCTTCTCTTTAGTTCCAGCAGGATGTCGGCCGTACGTTCGAATGATTTAGTGGAAAGCTTTGCAGATCCCGGAGAATCGCAAACGTATTCTGTCTGCCCTTCCCCGATTTCTGTTTTTACCTACCCTTTCCCACTTCCCTTCGCGTTCCTATTTGCCCTTTACACGCTCCCACCGTTTGTTCCGTTCACCCCCACGCCCCCTCCTTTCTTTTTGTCTCGCCTCTTTACTCTGCACCTCTCGATTTTATTCATCCACCTCCATCCCCTCCTCGTGATTTTTTTCCCCCCACCGTTTCTCTTCTTTTTAACCAGTGTTTCCGCCATTTTCTCTGTACCCATACTTTTTTACTCCCCTCCACCCACACACACACACACATCAGCGTCCTGTGTTCCTAGTGTCTTTGTACCAACGTCGTAGAAACGTTCAGTTTCAATTTTCGTCGAGTATTCTAAGGGAAAAATATTAGTTCCAATTTTTGATTTTTTTTGTTTTTTTTAGCATTGTACGCCTGAAATATTTTAATCAACTTTTTTACTCGGCCCTTAAAACAGATACAAATATATTTTGTCTTTAGGTAATCTCGTATAATTATTTATTTAAAAGTAAAGCGTGCCACGTTTTCGGTTCCAATTTAAAATAAATTTCGCCCGAGTCTGGTAACACGAGATTATGTATTAAAGGGGAACAAATTACTGGCATAATTCACCAGAATTAGGATGTGATCACTAGTGGAAGTTGGAAGATTAACTTATCCCCTCTTGCCTCGCAGCTTTCGGTTTAATTCGGCAATTTGTCTCCCGGAGTTCGCCAAGTCGACGCATCGTGATTGTGAAAATATTATACACCGTGTGTGTCGGGTTCAATTGTAATTTCTAATCCCGTCGTTCGTCTCCAAAAATAATTAATTATTCAAACGGTTGAAACACGGTCCCCGGCATCTGTACAAATATTCCGCAGTTTAATTCGACCCTTTAATTTTAATCGCGCAATTAATCCTGTAATTCCATTCCGTCAACTATTTTCATTAACAAAATGTAGGTTATCGTTTACCCGCGAGCGCTAATTACGCGGCTCGATGGAAATTCGACCGATTAATTTGTTTCGAGATTTTTTCCTTCCGCGGTGTAAGAAAAATAATGAATTTATTTACGCGGGCAAAAATACGGGCTTTCGGAACGCGTCGAAAACAAAGCAATTAACAACGGATGAAAACGTTTGTAGATTGCTGTTACTTTTAATAAATGGGATCACTTAAATTATATAAATTTGTTCTGCGATCTGCAAAATACAAAATATCGAACGCGATAATAAATTTATAATTTTTGATATAATCCAATCGCGAAATTAAACTATTAAAATTAGGAGATCCAACAAACTTTGAATAGAATTAATATTTTGAAATCGTTAATAATTTTTACTGTATATTCCTCTAGATGTTATTTAATAAATCATAATCACTTAAATTATATAAATTTATTCTGCATTCTGCAAAATACAAAATATTGAAAGCAATATTAAATTTATAATTTCTGATAAGATCCAATCGCGAAATTAAACTATTAAAATTAGGAGATCCAACTTTTAATAGAATTAATATTCCGAAACCATTAATAATTTTTACTTTATATTCCTCTGGGTGTTATTTAATAAATTATAATTTCCGTATCGACGTTTAAAATTCCAACACTTCCCTTTCCTACCATAAATATCGCCGGATATTTGTTTCTGCTTAATTGTTTTCTGATACGAACGCAAACGCCGGTTTTAAAGGCTGGGAGGGGAAAATAAAATGGTTTTCATTTAGCGAAAACAAACCAATATCTTTCCTCGTTCCTTCTTCACGGATGAAAACTCGCCGGGAGTAATTGTTTCATTAAATTCTAAGTGGAAGAACCGTTTCGCGAGGAAACATTAATTTTCAGAACGTTTCTACGGCTCGGTTACACCGCCGTTATAGTAAACGCGAACAAATTTGCATGCATATTACAACAGGTAATCGAAACGTCGCGTACCAGATTGTTTTAATAATCGTTACTGGAAAAATTTAATACCTCGACACTCCATTTATCCATTTTCGCTCACCAACTTGTAAAGAAGACAAATTATCTAGTGATCATGATATAAAAAAAAATATGTTTAAAAATTTTCCGAGGTTTGCTGCATTATTTTATTCACTAAATTCGTCATATTTTTTTTTATTATGTGTGTTCGATAAAAATTGTTTGAGAGTGTTTTGTAAATATTCGATACTTACAAAAAATGCATCAGAAAGGTGAGCCTGAAGTAATAAAATCTGCTCGCTATTTTTGAAATTTGTATTTCGCCTAATTTTGGATCCCATTTCTTTGAACGAAGCACGTCGATTATCCCCGTGGCGCGTCGCATAAACTACACGTTCAGTGTCGTGACGTTTCCACGGGGAAAAAAGCTGGAAATTTTCACGTCGGAACATCGTGGGTGAAATTTGAAGTTAAACGAGCACGTTCAACTAGACAGCGAGGCAAGAGAGGATTTTAATATACGACGAACCGTGTGTGGGATTTTCATGGAAGACGTCGAAAGTGATTCAGGATGAAAAAAAGCATGAATACGCGACCACGAGTGCCTCGCTGAGCTGCTGGATCGAGAGTTAACTTACAATGATTCGGGTTTGATTGAACATTTCCAGCGAACGAAGAGAAAGATAAATCGGAACAAAAAGGACTTCTTGTCTTTGAATATTTTTTGGAAACTTTCAATACGAAGGATTGAACGACAAAGGCCAGAGAACAATTGAAATCAGACGAGTCGATACCACTTGATAAATTCGGGATTTGGAATTTTTCAATCGAGGCACAAGAAAATCCGTCCAAACTAATTTCAATCAGTTTTAGAAACGAGGGATAGAAAGATATCAAAATTTGGGACAATGGTTTAAGTTTATAAAAAAATTTGTTTATAGACACGGTTATATCTAATAAATGTGTTGTTTCAGAAACGCGAAAAAAAATTTTTTCAAGTCGTTTTGAAAAAATTATTTTTTGTTGCGGGGATCAATTACAATCATTTTTGGTCAATAGATATACCTTCGAAATCGTACGTATTTTCGAGAAAAAAATTCTTTACCGAAAATCTAATATGAGGTCAGAAATGGTTCCTCGAAATTTCATGAGTATCTTTAAAACGTCATAACTTCTGAACGGATTGGAGGATTTTAATTTTTCAAAGTGCAAACGATGCGTATTTTGGTGAAGAATATGTAGAAATTCTAAAAATATTCGAAAAGTTGATCCTTGACCCCGGAAAATGAGAAAACCCCCATAAAAATGGTCCAATTTTCAAACAGCCATAACTCTTACAATAGTGAATATATTTCAATGAAACTTTTTTCTGAAGTAGAGCTCATGGGTGTCTACAAAAAAGTAATAGATAACTTTTCTGTAGGGCGTCAAACCAAAGTATTAAAAATCGACAGGGGGTAGGTGCCTAAATTTCTCGGCGAAAAAAAAATTTTTCAAATCGTTCTAAAAAAATTATTTTTAATTGTGGGAGTCAATTACAATAATTCTTGGTGAATACACATACCCCGAAATCCTACGCACTTTCGAGAAAAAAATTCGAGTATGTGTGAAATTTTTCGACAAAATTAAAAAATTTCAAATCGTTCTAAAAAAATTATTCTTAGTTGCCGGGGTCAATTACAATCATTTTTAGTGAATAGATATACCCTCGAAATCCTACGCATTTACGAGAAAAGAAATTCCTTACCGAAAATGTAAATGACATTTTCCCCTGAAAGTGTATGTTTAAAAAATTGTTCCTTAGCTCCGTAAAGTAAGAAAAACTCCATAAAAATGGTCCCATTTTCAAAATAAAATAATAGTTCTATTATTCGTTGGAATCTACTATTTAAAACTATTTCTATT